CTTGCTCATTTTGCCTCCGAGAAATGAGCAAAAATGGGACGGAAAACATGGAATTTTGGCATAATCTTGCACCTAAGTGTCTGATATTCAAATTTGGCTTTCTGGGTCAAAACTACTCTAATTTCCTCACTAACGTTGTTACGACTGAATGAACTTTTCAATTCTCTATCCAACGATGCCAAAACGAATTCTGTGGCTCGAATTGTGGGAACTGTGGGAAATTTTGCAATAATCTTGCGCCACCCTTGCATAAAACGACTATCATTTTTCTAATTTCATAAACAACAGAAGACTGTATTTTTTCTACATAACCCCCCCTGGATCCGCCCCTGCTCTACATAAATCACCCTGTATCCTCAGCCAATATCGCAAATTTACAAACTTCTTATTAGAGCTGCAAAAGACGGAGTTTTTGAGATTCTGAAAGAAGCGACCAGCAGAGACTGCAACGGCCGAGATGAGCAGGGCATGACGCCCACCCTCTATGCGGCCTTCTATGGAAATCTAGAAGTCCTCCGGCTTCTATGTGGGCGAGGGTGAGTCTTGCCGCCCTTCCTAAATTCTATGCAAAGACGGTTTTTCGCGTGATCGATGAAATTGTGTTGCTAGCGGCGATCCGGATAAGGCCGATCTGTTTGGAAACACCGCTCTTCATCTAGCGGCTGCTCAGGGCCACATGCGGATCGTGACTTTCCTGGTGAATTTTGGGGCCAACGTCTACAATACGGACATTGACGGAAGAACGGCGCAGGAACTGGCCGGGATCAACAACAAGGAGGACATTCTTCGCTTTCTGGATGGCGTGACTGCCAAGCTGGAAGCCAGCGACAAGAAGAAAGTGAAAGCTATGAAGGAGAAGGCAAAGGAGAACGCTAAGAAGAGGATAAAAGTATTTTAACATTTGTTATTAACAGCAAAGCTCTGGTGAAAAATACTCTAGAAAATATTTGTATTTGTCGAGTCGAGTGCACTGTCCGGACATAAAACCAGAGCTTTTTAAGCCTACCCACACTCTCAGCCACCCATTTTTTTTAAATAAATTGCTCACTCTTTCAGACGTATAACAAACACAAAGCAAAAAGCGAACACATGCATGAGAAACTGGAAAAAAAGCAGACCAAAGACTACAGACCGTCAATGATAAACACCATCAAAGCTCGAATCAAGAGCGGCTCCATGTCGAACTTATCGAACCTGCCTGCGGAAAGACGAAACACGTTCAGCAATTTGGTTATGGGTGGTACCGTGAAGGGTTCCAAAACGATGGGAACCGTCCAGAGGAAAATCATGGCAAAAGGCAACCGTTTGAGCACGCAAAACGAAGACGACTTCAAGGTAAAAACCCCTCAACTACCTAAACAATAGCTGGGCTCATCCGAACTAAAAAAAAAACTAAATTATAGGTAACAACAATTGAAAACGGTAAGGCGTCGATTTCGAAACTATCGGGCATTCGTCGGGACTCTGAGGTAATGTATGGGGGTACTTTGCAAAGGGCGGCTTTTGAGTCGCATCAGCGAGGGCGTTTGGATGGGCTCTTCAACGAGGCGGAGCAGGTGGAGAGCCGGGCGGCTCCTCCTCCGAGCAACGGCATGCTCAGAAGCATTTCCCAGCCGGATTTCTTGGCCGAGCTGCAAAACAATGCCGATAAGCCGTTGCAGGAGCCTTCCAGCATCTTCATCCGGCCGGGAATGGGCAGCATTGTTATCAGGTGGGTTTCTCCAGTGGGTTCCACGCTCGTCTCCATTGTCCATGTGCTCGTAGAAAAAGCCTGAATTCCTTTGGAGGCTTCTACCAAGCGGGGAACAGACCCGAGGAGAGCTCGATTGGATCAGGAGAGAGTTACACACATCGCGCGATCACCGACGACGAACTATCAGGTATGAGCTAACGGTTCAAGTACCAGTGGTCTTTGACAAAACCGCTCTCTCCACCTCAGAAGAAGACTCTGAAGAGGATGAGGAAGACAGTCCGAATGCGCCTCTTCAGCGCTTTTTGACGGCGTTTGGACTAGGCGACTATCTCTCCCGATTCGAAGACCAGAAAATTGACCTGGAAACGCTGCTGATTCTGACCGAAACCGACCTCAAGAGTCTGAACTTGCCTATAGGTCCTCACCGGAAACTCGTTAATGCCATAAGCGAGAGGAAGGCGGCTCTGGAAAACCCCGGAGAAGTTACTGACAGTGCTTTATAAACCGGACTTGATAAAAAATTACTGTAAGAGTATCAATGTGCATGTGGTTACATTATTTATTTAAAAAGACAATTAAATAATTTTGCTAGATCGACAAAGTTGTGAACGTGTTCTTAGAAGTGCGACTCGTTTTTGTGCGTACAGCAACAATTCGCTATCTAACAATGTTACAAGGTAGAATTCCAAAAACTCCATTCAATTTCCCAAATTTCATCTATTAATTGTCGTGATAAGCAATTCCATGTTTGACCAACAGATCTTTTAAGTGCTCAATGGTTTTATCGTCCCGGAGTTTGGTTTTCATTATTTGCTGTTCGTGCGCCTCCAACATTTTGATGTACTTCACTTCCAGTCCGTTTAAAATTTCCTCAAATTCCTCCTTTTGTCCGGTTCTCGTTTGTGCAATCAGCTCGGCCTTTTGCACCTTCAATTGCACCTAAAAATGCTGTGGCTCAAAAACCTTGAGAAACTATATCAAACTTTATTGTGATTTATTTTCCTGACTGTGTAAATATAATTCCAAATCAAATTCATTCCTGGGTTTCAGTCATTTATTATCTCCATTTGATTGATAAATAGAGACAATAAATGACTGAAACCCTGGAATGAATTTGATTTGGAATTGAAACACAGTCAGGAACGTATACACAATGTAAATATAAAAACTATATCCAGCATTAATTGCACTTTAACCTCCAGAAAAATAGCTCCATTTTATAAACACCCTGTATATAATAAAACCGTTTGGAATTGCATGCAGGCAACACACCACCCATGTTATCCACAGATCACCGAGTAACCTCTGTGATCTGTGATGTTAACTTAACCTACAATACCAAGAGTTTGTTTACAATTTACAACTGAACTTATTGCAGTTTGCAACATTCAGAAACATGGAACCAATCAAGAATGTTCGCCTATCAAAGGGAATATTAGAGATGAAGTTTATGAAGAAATCGAGAGAACAGGTTCTAAAAGATCAGGAAGATGCTGAGAGCCAGGAAATGTATTCGAGGGAAATCACTGAGGAAATGAAGAAAAGCGGTCACACCATCTTTCGCGAAGCCAGTATGACGATTTGCAAGGGTTTAGCTGATGGAAGATTGTCGTTCGGGGGCGTGAACCCCGAAGTGGAGAAGCTGATGGAGGCCACATACAACAAAGCCCTCGCCGAAGCTCAGAAGCGGGAGGAGAAGGATGTTAGTGACGAGCACATGGCCAAAGGCTACTCCACACTGGTCAATACGGTAAATAATAAGTTCAAGACCAAAAAGGCTAAGAACAAGAAGTTCCAAAAGCCCAATGCCGCCGAACCGCTGATTTAAAGACTGTTTTAGTTAGCAAGCAATATACTCTAGGGACTACCTGTAAAGCACTGTCTTTCAGCTCCAACTCCTGCTTCAATTGTTCGATTTGCTTTAAATACTCTTTTTCAGTTCTTTGGAAGACTTTGTCCATTTTTGACACGCACTTTTTGAGTACATGAATTTTTTTGTCGCAAGAGCAGCTGGAAACTTGGTTTTTTATCGTAGATAGTTCATTCATGATCCTGTGGAGATTGTCTGGAATGAAATGTTGTTTTGCTTATGGCGGTACTTGCCTTAGGCACTGGCTTTGGATAATTTCAGACAATCTGCAAATTTCGCTGTCCTTCCTGTACAGAACTTCCTCATGTTCGGTCTTGATGCTCAATATTTGTTCTTCGAACATACTGGAGAGTGTTTTTCGTTTTTGCTCATATTCCGCCTCCAAGGACTTTTGCATGTCAAGCACTGCTTTCTCATGGGTCTCCGTTAGTTTGGCCATTTCTTGATTGTACTGGCTTTCAAATAGGGCAACATTGCGGTCATTCTGTGCCTGTGCAGTGTAGATGATAATAATCAGCCGTTGATGATGTTTCTACCGAAACATTTACTTGGTTTTTCGCCGTATTTTCTTCCAGTTGGGTTTTCAGCTTCTGGATAACGCCATTCAGCTGATTATTTTGCTGTATCATCTCGGACAATCTCAATTGCAAGGCGGCAATGGTTTTCTTCCAGTCCTGAGACAAGTAGTTGGTGTCCTTCAGAAGCTTTAAAGTGTTGCTCAGCTTTGCGTCTTGGTCTTTTCCACCTGCAGATATGATTCCTTATTTTGTTGTATCAAAAAGACACTGAAAAGGAGTCGTACCTTCAGTGAGCACGAAGCAGTCGGGCTCAGTAGTGCCTTTTTCAAGGCGCTCTTCATTTGAACCTGCGGTCACTTCAGATAAATCCGACCAGGAGTCATCGTCAACAAATGGGGACTTTGAAGCGGTAGCAACAAGATCTGCTTCTCTAAGATCAACCGGCTCTCCACAGCACAAATCTGTGCGCTTGTTTCCCACTGTGCTCTCAGCGTTTATTCTGAGTAATTCTTGATCTGATTCAAAATGTTCTTCAATTTTCCAACCCTTCACCTTATCTTCAAATGATTGTGTTTGCTTTCGCTGTTCAGATGCGGGATTCTAAAAAATACGTTCAAATATTCGACTGTTCCAAAACAGAGAAATTGTAGTACTTACATGAAAAGTTTGGGCCTCTTGGCACAACTCAGTCAATTTCCCATTGGGTGGTGCTTCATTGAAAGGCGGTAAAAGCTTATTGGCTTGAATTTGTCGGCACAGTTCAGCCAAATAAAAATTCCTCAGGACTTTGTCCTGGTTGGAAGCGCTGAGTTTCTCCAGCCAAAATCTGCATTGTAACAGATATCGGGTCGAACTGATGTGTGGAATGTGCTGGCGAATAACACAGAGAATTTTCCTGAATTCCACTTCTAAATCATCTTGCTGGTCCATGCTACTTGCCGGTGAATTGCACGAATTCACTGTGCACTTTGTAAAATTGATGGAAATTCTTCAACACAGCAAGAGTGTACAGATAAATGGAATAAAGCAACAAAAAACTAAAAAGTGACTGTTTTAGGAGGATTATGAGCATTTTGACTGCGACATTCTGAGTTTGTCAGAGACCGACAAGCTCTACTGCCAGAGTTGATGAAAAACACTGGGTTTTTAAATTATTCGCGCCTATCGCAGCGTTGTCACATCCTTAAACCCAATTAAGTAGCGTCAAACTGAAAACTTCAACCCACTTTCAGTGACGTGGGCCGGTCAGTTAGACAATGTTGTTGTGCTAAAAACTCAATCATTTTGGCAAAAAACTACTTTTTTTCTCACATTAATTGCAAAAGAATAGTGGTTTTTAAATATACACTTCAAAGGAAGTGCCCGACAGTAAATTTGCATTTTTTAGAGGCCCAAAATCACTGGGTTTACGGGTTTTGCTGCCACTGTAGCTGTCAGAGTCATCTGAGCCACGTTGGAACCTCCAGATTTTTGTAAATAATTTCCCAGCTGAATTAAATGTGCCCTTAAAACACGCATTTTCAGTGAGTGAATAATTCAGTCTATATACACGCAACTAGGTAAATTTGAGAATTTGTCTCAACTAATAGCTTTTTGCAGGTATTATCCGACTCAAAGGAGCACTATGAAGGTGAAGGATATAGAGCGAACTGCCAATGTGGCCTGGTCTCCTAAGAACCAGAGCCCCATCTACTTAGCAGCTGGCACGGCGGCTTCGCAGCTAGATGCTTCATTTAACACTAATGCGGGTAAGAGTTATTAATTGCTATTTTTATATTTCGTTAACGCCCCAAATAGTCTTTTGCTACTTCGTCGTCGCTAGATTTCTATGTCTTAAAAAACGCTTCGACTAATTTCAGCTTTGGAGATTTATGCGCTCAATATAACTGAGCCTGGACCTGACACACGATTGGTTTCAACTTTGGCGAGCGAACACAGATTCCATAAACTCATTTGGGGTTCCTCAGGCGCTGATCCAATTGGAACGATAATCGCGGGTTGTGACGATGGATTGTTGCAGATTTACAGGTATTTGCGTGGATTCCTTTGATGCCAAACCATAACTAATTGATGAAATTTTCCCCTTACAGTGCGTCCAAACTTTTGAAAACTGAAAGCGCCCTAATCAGCAAGCAACAGACGCATTCGGGACCAGTGCATGCACTAGACTTTAACAGTTTCCAACAAAATCTGTTTGCTTCTGGTGCTGGAGATTCCGAGATCTTCATTTGGGACTTGAATAACACCAGTACCCCGATGTCTCCAGGTAATGCGCCCCTATATTCTCATTATATCCAAAAGCCAAATTTTTCCTCCAGTCTACTTTTCGTAAATATTTTACTCGAAAAATCTTCAAAATGATTCCCTATTAACATTCAGTCGGATTTAATTTTTTGCGCACGCATCAGGACTATTAAGTGAGTACATAACTTACGAATAAAAATTCACTGAGGAAAAACGCATAACCCACGCAATTCTTCCTTAGCGCGAACTAAAACACTTTAATTCGGTAGGTACAAAGTCGCAGCCGCTAGAAGACGTTTTATCAGTGGCGTGGAACAAGCAAGTGCAGCACATTTTGGCCTCATCCTTTGCGTCGAAATGCGTGATTTGGGATTTGCGGAAAAATGAGCCGATTATTAAGCTAACGGACACTGTCTCAAGGATCAGATGGAAGACTGTCGCTTGGCACCCTGAAGTAGCCACCCAACTGTGCTTGGCATCAGGTCTGTCTCTCATTTGTTGAAATAGTGGCTCAAATTTTAACAAGGTATTTTTCTTGCAGAAGAAGATCACTCGCCAGTGATTCAAGTGTGGGACCTCAGGTTTGCCACCTCTCCGCTTAAAACCCTGGAAAATCACCAACGCGGAGTTTTAGCGATTTCCTGGTGTGAGCACGATTCGGACCTGTTGGTTAGTTGCGGAAAAGATGACCGAATTCTATGCTGGAACCCCAATTCCAATCAGCCGAACGGCGAAGTGAGTTCACTTCAATACCATTTACTTCAAAACGCGTACTTCATTTTCAACTGGTTTAGGTTTTGTCGGAAATAGCAAAAACCAACCAATGGAGTTTCGATGTTGTGTGGTCCCCAAGGAATCCTGCTTTAATCGCTTGTCCCAACTATGATGGGCATGTATCAGTGTATTCTCTCATGGGAGGTAAATGGATACAGATATATGCACCCTGCAAACCTCTAATACTTTTCGCTTCAGGAAAGACTCAACAGATCCAGACTACCAACAAGATAGCGGACAGTTTCCCCGGAATGGACGGCTTTGTGAAAGCTCCTACTCAACAGCAGTCTCATGTTACGGTCAGTGTGGACCCTAGCAAGCCTCCGAAGTGGCTGCGAAGACCCGTTGGGGCTAGTTTTGGGGTAAATACATGTATATACTTGGCTAGATTTTCCCGGTCCATGTTGACTTCGGTTCTAGTTTGGAGGAAAGTTAATCAGTTTTGCACATAACAAAGAGGCGGTGGCTCAAGCTCAACAAAACATCCAGCCAGGCCAGGCGCCCCCATATATTAGCAGAAGTGTTGAAGTCAGTCAAGTTATCACCGAAGATGAGTTTGTTCAGAAGTCCGCTGAACTTGAGGCTGCCCTGGAAAACGGCAACTTCATAGGTGAGTTTTATCGGCTGCGGTTTATGAACAAAAATTACACAGTATTTTTGCAGAATATTGCATAAACAAATCCAGTGAAACGAATGATCAGCACAAAAAGTACATCTGGCACTTTCTCAAGGCGAACTTTGAGCAAAATCCCCGAGCTGAGTTGTTGAATTTGCTGGGATATAGAATTGAGGATGTGAATATCAAGCTGGACCGTCACATCGGGCAGCGCGTTTTACAAAATAGCGTTGATGGGCTGACTAACGAATTTGCCGGAAATAGAGTGAGTTAATGACTTGTTAGTGCGACCACACAGTCAAATTGCGTTTCTGTAGATCGAAGACTATGAAAACCAGGATCCGTTTGATAATATTTCCAATCAAAACAACACCGGCAAGCCAGCAAGTCCGTTTAAAATCAAGACCAATGACGGTGAGTTATGGTGTTTGTAACCCAAACAGGGATTTTCAAACGTGTTTTTCTATCAGACCCTGAAGGTTTGATCACTCAGGCTTTGTTGCTGAACAATGTGGAAGCTGCCGTCGAGCTTTGTTTAAAAGCTGAAAAGTATGCTGATGCTCTGATTGTAGCAACGACAGGTTAGTTTAGTCAATTTTTATTAGGCGATGCAGCTGAATGGTAATATTTGGGGAATTTTCAGGCGGCCCAGACCTTCTAGCGAGAACTCAACACCAATATTTGGAAAAATCCCAGGGTTACGTGTCCAATTTGATATCCGCTATGATTTCCGAAGATTGGGGTGCAATAATCAATAACTGTGATATCGCCAGTTGGAAAGAGGCCTTGGCTGCCGCATTGACTCATGCCTCTGAGGAGGATTTGCCTATTTTGTGCGGTAAGACTTCTTAGAAAATCGGCGGTTGATTCAATCTCCACGTTTAAAAAAATCATTTTTTATCTTTCCATGTTATTTTTTCAGAACAACTTGGCAGTAGATTGGAAGCCGAGAGCAAGACCAATGCGAAATTCGCTCAAGACGCTCAATTGTGCTACATATGCTCTGGTAGTTTCGAGCGATTGGTAGCTAGCTGGAGTGGAGACGCTGTCACTTCCACCAAAGATCTTCAAGAGCTAGTGGAACTGGTGTCTTTCCTGCAAAAATCCATTGAACAGCAAGGAAAACGAGTACAGGTAAGCTATGGGTATAGAAATGTCCGGTATTTCTTCATAAGGTTTTTTTATTGCAGATTTCAGGAGCTCTCGCCGATCTTCTCTCTCAATATGCCTCGCTGCTGGCGGCTCAAGGCAACCTTGAAACGGCCCTCTCTTACCTGGGATCGTCTCAGAATGAGAAGGTCTCCAGCTTGAGGGATCGCCTGTTGACCGCTTTGGGTCAGAAGCCTTTGAATATTCAGGAAATGCGCCAGCAGCAAGCGAACAGGCGTAGTAGCACGCGATCGTCGCAGTCCGGTTATCCTGCGGGTGCTTTCAACGCTGCAAATGCTTTCCATGTAAGCGACACTTCACTTATACAGCTAGCTAAGGTCGTTTGCAGTGCCAATGATGAGAATACTAGTCTGAGTCCAGACAAAAAGCTTGCAGCTCGCCTTTGTAATCTTGGTAGTCGGTGTATAAAATCCGGCAACTGTAAACCCGAAGGTACACTAAACAAGCAACTGGAAAAGTTGCACCTTGAAAAGAAAAAGAGCTCGCTAAGGATATAGAGCCTTTCTTTTCACCGGTGTCACATACATAGAACTGCACAGAATCTTCTTCTCCTGTCGTTTCGGGCGATGAAGAAACTGTCCGGTTTTTACCCGAATGGGTAGAGTAATGCAAGTTTTCTGTGATTTTTCTTTAGTAATCTGAGGCAATCTCTAGAGCAATTCGGTGCCTGTATATGTAGAGAGCACTTTTGAATGTTGCTGCAACTTTGTGGAGTTTCAGCCTAACCAGATGGGAGCTCAACCTGCGCCTGCTATTGTTCAGGCTCCTCCGTTTGGCAACTTCAACATAGGTCTGCCCAACGCTTCCGGGCTTAGCCAAGGCTGGCAAACGCAGGCGGTGGGACTTTCGGCTCCTGCAGCTGCGCCACCCGCTCAACCCTGGCAGCAACCGCCCCAAGTGGCGCCGCCCGCTCAGCCTTGGCAGCAACCGCCCCAAGCTCCGCCACCAAAGCCGTTTTCGCCTGCACCTGCCCAGCCTTTGCGGCCTGATAGTGTCGGTTCTAACAAAGGTGGGGCTTTCTGCTTTTGAATCGTTTTTCATATAACGGGTTTGATTTCTGCAGGTGGACTTTCTCGGAAATATCCACGGGATCCGTCGGTTACTAATAGTCAGTACCCGTCGCTCAATCCGTATACGCCAGTACCCAACCAATCAGGCTTTGATAGTGCTAATGCCTATAATGCAAGTGCAACTGCTGGCCCGTACGGGCAGATGTTTCAGCCCTCTGGCCCTGCAGGTTTGTTTGTCTTGCCAATATAATCGGCTGCTTAATTGGGCATTTTTCCAACCAGCAATTCCGCAAATGCCTATGCTGAATCCCACGCCATTGGTTCAGGCAGCGCAGCCTGCTGTCGAGGCGGCTCAGCCGGTTAGAAACTACCAAGCGGAGGCGCCCCCGGGCTGGAATGATCCTCCCGCCTTCAACAGGCCAACGAGAACTCAGGTAAATTAAAAACCCTCAAATTCCCGACTTTTCTTGATAATGGGCTGAACTTCTTGTACGATTTTTTTAAAGCGAAATGTTGCTGAGCGAATTATGTCCCCAATTCATTCGGGGAGCCGCTTATGGAGAAAGGTACTAGAAGTGCTTTAGCAGCGTTTCGGATCTAATCTCATTTGTGGCTTGTTTCGAGCATGATTTTTTTGTGTTTTTCCAAATGATTCAAATAGCCAAAGTTTCTTCGATTCGAACTAGCAATGAGAGTTAGATGTGCGTTCTAATAGGTGATGTTCTTTACCATTTAGCCTGAGTTAGTGGCTGCCGAACCGATAACGCATCCGATTTATGGATCAGCTCCGGCTCAACCCGCTTCGAATGGATATGGATATGGTGGGGACCAGCCTGGACAGTTCCAGCCGCCCCCAATGCAACCGTACGGCTCCCAGCCGCCGACTAGTTTCAACCCGCCTGCAGCCCCGCCATCGGGAGCCTTTCAGCCCGCCAATGCCGCCCCATATGGGGCTCCAAACTTTAATTACGCGCCGCCCGCCGGCTCTTTTAACCCCAGCAACTTTAATCAAAACGCTATAGGTGAGTGAGGGATTTTCCATAATTATTCCGAATATTCAGAATTTTTTTTAGGGGGAACTGCTTCACCAAAGCCGCCAGCAGCTGCACCCACGCCAGTTGTTGCACAACAAGTTCAAAAGGCCCCTTTACCGCCAGAACATGAAGTACTGCAGCGGGTTTTTAATGAATTAAAGGAGAGGTGCAACAGTACCGCCAGCAATCCGGTAAGCAGTTGAAATGAACCTCTTCTGTAGACTGGTGAATATGAAATGAATTTGGTTGTTCTTAGCAAACGAAGCGGAAACTGGAGGATGTAGGCAGGAGACTTGAAACATTGTACGACAGTCTTCGAGGCAATAAGGTGATTTAAAAGCAAGCTGCTTGAATACCGTTGTTAAATCATGCCATTTTCAGTTGTCTCCGAATGCTTTGGCTGCTCTACATCAAATAGTTCAGTTCGTCCAGACTGGGGAATATAGGGGCTGCTTGCAGCTCCACACGCAATTAGTGCAAGGCCCCGATTTTGCCCAAATCGCAAATTTTATGCCGGGAATCAAAGTATTGATACAATTGGCCTTACAGTTGCACGTTTATTTAAGTTAGGCCCTGCAGTAACCTGATGAGTTTGTAGATCTAATCTAAATAATGCAATTGCGGCAATTTGAGTCCGATTCTGGTTGGCAACTTGTGGGGTTCGCGAGCAAAGCGAATTGTTGCGGTTGTAGATATTAACAAACTAATATAAAAAGGAATTTATACTATACACTTAGTGGATTGTGTGCGCGGAAGAAACCAGAGTAGTTTTGGTAAATCCAGGTTTATATTAAACCAGTAAAAGTTTGTGTACACATTTGAAAACTTCAATCGGTTAGGCGTATATACATCATAATATTAAGTGCTTTAATAAGGTGTTAAAAATACATAATTTTGTACTTTTTTGTCTAATTCTTTATTTTCCTTTCCTCAGTGTTGACGGGAAAAGGCATTATGTTTTAATTGCATCGAATCCAAAGCTATTTGTTCGTCGTTGCAAGTCCCTAATTTCGATTATATCAGTTTTCAGCCTTAGCTTCAAGATTTCCCTCCAAAGAGCCTCACGATGGCTCGCATCACTGATGCCTAGTCTGAAACGATAGAATATATTCATTTCTATCGGATTTTTTTGTAAAAATGAATATGCCTGGGTTGTGAATATTACAGTAGATCATTGAACATTTATTCGCTTTTACTAATAATTTCCTCTTGAAGACAAGGTATTGAAAAATCCGTTTAAAGTTGGAACTTACCTAGTCAGGGAGTTGTCATTCATTCTGATCAAAGCTCTTCCAGTTATATCATGTTGAACGAAATTGTCCGCATAAAGCGGATGATAGTCGCCGCAGTGCCTTCTAAGCCAGTTTTGTACATCCCGAACGTTCCACTCATAGACAGACTTTGGTTTATTCGTTCGCTGCTATAAAGTGCACCATTTGAAGACAACGAAGTTAACTAAACAAGAACTCACTTTAGGCTTATTGTTTGTCGTACTTAGGGCCTCCTCAACCATTTTTTTGCGAGAAGCATTCGATTTTCAAGCAGTGTTAGGTTTTTTGGTTATCCCATATATAAAAGTTACTATTCAAGTAGTTCGTTTGTTCGATGAGAAATCCAATGTTCCCATTGATTTGAGCACCATGCCCGTCATGAAACTATTCAAGTTTTATTCCGGAAAGCACTTTAAAAAATTAAGTATTGTTTGGTATCAGGTTAGGTTAATTTTGCTGTCTTTGTCATTGTGATTGTCAGACTTATTACTGATTTCAGGTCTAATAATTGAAATGCGTTCTGTATTACCGACAGAGTGTGATTTTTTGTCAGTTTTTTGTTGTTTGGTCCAAGTTGATGTGGTTTGCTGCAAAAAAATAACACTTAGAGGGTCGTACTGAAAATATTTAATTGAAAATCTAAATAGTAATAATATAATAAGTGCCGAAACATTTCAATGGCGTTTGCCTTTACGTGACTCAAGCAGCAAAATTTGGAAACTGAAAGTGGTTGTTTACTAACTAAACTTAAATAAAAAAGTAGAAAATGTTTGAAAAGCCCTGAATTATGGTAAAGGAACCGGAGAAATCAGTTCTTCGCCAGCCAATCCGGCCAAAATATTCTCAGCTGTTAGCTTCGCCATAGCATTTCTCGTATTTCCAGTTGCACTGCCAATATGAGGCGTCAACACTGAAAGCGCAAGTTTCAGAGAACGAAAACTTTCAAAAACAAGGCGATGGCCACCTACCAACATTTGGCAATTTCAGCAACTCGCTATCAGTGTTTAACGGCTCGGGAATCATCACATCTAAGCCTGCAGCGAAAATCCGCCCTGCCTTTAAAGCTGCTATCAGCGCATCCTGATCCACCTGAAAACACAAACAGTTTTATGTGTTAGTGAGTTGAGAGGGAAAATGGCCCTTACCAGTTGGCCTCTGCTGATGTTAATGAGAATGCCATTCTTTTTCATCTTGGCGAAAAAGGCTTCATTGCACATGTTCATAGTTTCATTAGTCAGAGGAGCTGAGAGGAAAATGAAGTCACTGCGTCTGGCCAGCTCATCGAGATTCACAAATTCGTAGCCCAGATCCTTTGCTACAACAACCACATTGGAGTTTAAAAGGGGGGGAAATTTCCCCACTTGTGTTAAGAACCTTGAGGCTTTTCCTTGTGCCCAGTATAGAGGATCTTGTGCGCGTCGAAGCCTTGAAGCCTTTTGGCAATTGTTTGCCCAATCCGGCCCAAGCCTACTATCCCAATGGTAGACCCGGCTATATCCTGGCCAAGCATCCACTGGGTGTCAAACTCCTTCACCCAAGTACCCCTTTAATGATACATTGATAATTGCACAATCATGCTTTTAGGTGAGCACGCGCTTTCCATAAGGTCCCACAATCAATTTCGATTCAGTTCATTCTCATCATCAGGTCAGAAGCTCAGTTGATGGCAAATAACGGAATCGAAATCGGTTCTAGAGACGCAACGCAAATAGATTTCGTACCGCTCTATATGCTGGCGGCCTTCGGGATATCGCCTGGCAGCCGCTAGAGCTAAGAGCATGGCAATGTCTGCTACAGCACCATTGAGCACGTTCGGTGTGTTTGACAATTTGATGCCGCGAGCTTTTACTTCTTCTAGATCGATGTGATTGTACCCTACTGACATGGTTCCAATCACTTTTAACTGCGGGCCTGAAACAGGATTTTGAGAGTGAATTGGGGTAAAGAGGCTTGATTCTGCTGGCACCTGCGGCGTCTAATATTTCTTTGTCTATGCGGTTGTGCGTAGCCCAAAATAGGGCATCAACGCCGCGGACGTCTTTGAGAATTGCGGCTCTATCATGGCTGGTGCTAGTTGTGACTTCATATCTGGAAAGTTTAGGGTGGCGATAGAGCCTTTGATATAGAGCAGCAGTCTGATTTAGACTTACTTATCAGCAAGCAGCTTATAGGCGATCTGTGGCACTGTCGGGTTGGCTATCAGTATCTTCAATCTGGACATTTTCTCAGTTGTTGGTGATCCGCTGATGGTTGCGACCAGAACGCATAATCCCAACAATTGCAAAATTTGGTCTAGAACATTTGACAATTGGAAATTAAGGTTCAGTTCATAAAAAAGCCGATTTTTTTAATGTTTTCCTCACTTTCTGCCTTCTGAAACTTTTTTCAAATAATTTCTTTTGCGGCCTTGGATGTTTACACTATAATTCTATTTACACATTTTTTAATTGAGTTTTACACTGTAAAGTAGCATTTTAAAGCTAACAAGTTCTTCTCAACTGCAATGCTAGTGACAGGTGTTGTCAATGTCAATAGATTAAAACAAAGTCGCGTTTTGTCAATTATTGTAGACATTTTGTTAAATTTTATGATTCTTTATGGCCACAAGCACTGTTTAAGTTGCTTTTAGTAAAATTATACATAAAACCGCCATTTGCAGGTTTTGAAGCCGATTAAAACAAGTTCGAAAGCGGTTTTTCTTGCAATGCACTCGGAATATACCAGAGGCTCAGAAAAATTGACACTGAAAAAACCAGCATATTTTCACCAAGAAAACGAGTCTGGCAGATGTGACAGCATACTATTTTTCGTCAATTTATTAAATTAATTTTTTATATAATTATTAAAAATTTATTAAATAATCACACCAAATGTGTTAAACGTGAGTGAGTCAGTAAATACTTACATGACATACCCACTCGCGTTAAATGCTACAAATTTAGGTTCTTCTAGAACATTTGCGGACTATATGAAGTTTTCCTTGCACACTGTCCACTGACCTTTGCAATATTATTTGATCAATTTATTTTCTTGTTCCTACCCAAGACCCGACATTCTAGTTCTTTCAACATTCATATGCTGAGATTTCTCTCGATACAAAGCTGATATGCCAAGGTCAAAAATTCCAATCGGTTTCAATTATTCCCCCGATTTCAGCCACAATATTAACACAGTTTTAAAATCGCATGGTTGAGTTTAATTATTTATCACACTTGCGAGCCTTGATGGCCAACTCCCTAGATGTCACCCGACGGAAGACTTTTGACAATTATCCGATTTGATAGTCGGGCAAGCTAACCACACTTTTGGACAGGCTGTTGTTTTGCCCGGATTGTCGAAAGTGCAGCATACCTTCGTGTAGCATCCGAAAGTGAAAATGGCCCATCCGGAAAAACCGACCAAAATTTCCAAACTGCTGCGGATTAAGGCGCAAGAATTTCTAAGTTGCACGGAGAATACGGCAGGTTTTCTGCAAATAATCAGGCATTTTGAATCTGGGGCGGACACAGCATCCTGTTTACTCGCGTTGGACATGATTTTCACCCATTTGCTGAAGGACCGTAAAATGCACTTTGAAATTGTTCCTTTGAAAGCTGTGGAGCGATCCGTGGAAAACGACAAGAGAAAGTGGCTAATGGATACATATGAGGAATGTTATATAAAAATACTGGACTGTATGGATCATGACAATTCAAAAGTCGGTCTGCAAGGTGAGTCAATAGTTTTACTATCCAAATAATTTGGTTTATTCAACGTCTTCATCACTACTAACAAACTCGTTGGGGGGAATTTCAGCGCTGTCCACTGCTATGAGCCTTTTGGCCACTGAATGTAGACATCCACTGCTAAGATACACCTCAGACCAAGAGAACTACTTTCCTGTTAATAAGCTGAGGTCGGTTTTGATGAAATTGTTGTCGGTCAAACGGAACAACACGCCTCTGATCAATAAACACACCGAGTATTTAATATTCGATGACATTTTGTTTTACACGTGGAAACTACTACCATCTCTAACAGCCAAGTCTAATCCCAATGAGCTCTATATTATGAACTATCTATCGCTGTTGGAGAAAATGCAGATCTATCCTAATGCTGAAACAAAACATCTATGTGGAGAAGACCAAGGTAAGATTGACTACTAATTAATTTTCTCCACGTCCACGTCATACCATTGTTTGAACCAAATTTTCATGTTTTATTCTGTTTAGTTCTTGTTAAATAAATCACTATTTATTAAGCCACTTTAGTTCTTCCTTACCTATTTGCTTTAAATATCTGCCATCGTTCTTCGGTACTTTTGAAAATAGCGTTTTCTTTTGCAGCATCACTTATCAACTTTGACGAAACATTAACAAAGAAAAACCTAAACAGAGTGTGGCAGTGTATAATGCTTTGGGAACATACTCAGGAAACGCATCGCCAACTTTTAGTCGTCCTACTCGAAAAAGTGTTAGTTCATCTGGACAAACCGTTGATCCTCACCGACTTCCTAATGGACTCTTTGGACGTCGGCGGCCCTGTCAGCTTGTTAGCATTACAAGGCATTTTCACGATGATCCAAGTGCATAACTTGGATTATCCCAATATTTTCGCCAAACTATATTCCATGTTCGAACCAGAAATTTTTCATACAAAATACAAGGCCCGGCTGTTCTATTTGGCGGATTTGTTTCTCAGTTCTACGCATTTGCCCGAAATGCTGGTCGCAGCTTTTGCTAAAAGACTTGCCCGGCTGGCCTTATTGGCCCCTTCCGAGGATATCATTATTATCTGCCACTTTGTAGGAAATTTAATTTTAAGGTAAGTTCCTAACGCTTTATTTGTCAGGCTGTAGTGAAATACTTTTACATTTTTTTAGGCATCCTGGGTTAAAATACCTGCTACACAATGGCAACGGAGCCATAACTAGTTTAGACCCTTATATAATGGAAGAAAGAGATCCCCTAAAATCAAACGCCATCAATAGTTCCTTATGGGAGTTGCAGACTCTCCAAAGTCATGTTCAGCCTTCCGTAGCGGCTGCAGCCAGATTTATTGGCGCTCCTCTTCCATCAGTCGAATGGGACATTGGTAAAGTATTGGAAAACTCTGGTGATGACATCTTCGACAAGGAAATTAAAAAGATGAGCAAACTGATAGTGTTGCAATTCGAGCAACCGAAAGAACTGACGTTGTCTCGAGGAGATAAAGTCAGTGAATTTTGGGAATTTTCATAATTTGATTTTTAAATAATGTGCTGCCATTTTTAGTCTTTGGAAGATAAAAGCAATGATGTTCACGAAATAGTACGTTGACTCATATTTTCAAGCTTTCCCTACCTGTCACAAGTTCAATACCCAACTTGATAATGAATCTAAACAAAATTTGTCTTCTTAAGACTGATATTAATGAAAGTTATTAATGTGATTGATTAATCTGATATGTTTTTTACCGTTTATATTATAATTAGTAGGCTTTTAACGTATTTAAATTACTACGTTTAGATGCTAGTGATTGGTTACCCTGTTTTGCAATATTCCTGTAAAAAACTGTCCTGAAGCTGTTTGGGACGAATGTTTGAAATTGTTAAACAAGGCCACATCTAATCACTGTTTTGTCACATTCACTGATCGTTTAAGTAGAAGTCGCTGTTAATCGTATTGGTTTATGTAATACATATCTTAGTAGAAAATAACTAGTCTTTGAATTCATCTAAAACCAAAAGTTGCCATTAAGGTCCATTAACTTTGTTTTTTGCCATCACACCACAGTATTATTTCTTGATTGGGGTCTAAAGTTTCTGCTATGGAAACGATCATCAACTTTCCAAAAATATAGCATATAATATAACACGTACCTTGGATAAGGCAATTATAAACATTAAATCTCGTATCTACACGCTAAGTAAACTGTATAAAATTCCCCGTTCTAACACCCGTTGACTAGATATGATTACAGGCCAGATAATCGTATCTGCAGAAGGTCCCAGGCCTTTTCCACTTGCATCTTCGTATACTCGACTTCCCACAAAGGGCAGAACACGACATTGGCTTGTTGAATGTTTTCCTTATTGGACGGTTGCGCAGCCATGCGGCTTTTCGCTTGTTCTTCAGTTAAATTGTTTCTGGTTTTCAGTCTTTCAATTGCTTCCTTTTCGGGAACAAATGTAGTCCAAACCTGACAGAAATGTTGCAAGCCAAGCGCATGAAAGTAAAGATAAGCGTTACCTCATGGCAAAAGGCGTCCCAGCCAGCCTTGGTCAAAATCGCTGCTTCGACACACACCACCCGTGCCTCTGATTTTCGAATGATTCTTTGCACCTCATCTTTAATGGCAGGCCATACAATGTCAGTTAATTTAGTCAATTCGGCCTAAAAATTACCAGTCAGTTTTGTTTTGGAACGAGTGTTCCAAAGACCTACGGGTTTTTCAAACACCAAATTTCCCAAAACTCTTCTATCAATCTCCCCGTCACTATTGAGAATTTCCTTTCCAAACTGACTGATAACTTCCTGGTAACATGCAGCGTTCTTTTGGTAAACTTGATGTCCGATTTTATCGCAATCTATTATGGGAACTCCCATGTTCTTCAAGTGGCTCGTAACGCCTGATTTGCCACTAGCTATGCCACCTAAAATTCCCAGGATTATTCAGAACGATTCCGAAAACGCTGTTTGCTTGCCTGTTAAACCAATCACATACGGTTTGTTTGGAATGTTCTTTTTTTCCAAAGGGTTTAGCAAGGTGCCCAACAGTCTCAATCTTTGATTACTCGAGCTCACTTTAGTTTCCTCGCGAGCTTGCGGGTCAGGTTCGTCGATAAAAGGAATTGGGACGATCACTAGCTCAGCTAGGCTCTTCTGTTTTCTTACTGTAACAATTCAGCTGGTAAAAACTAGCAGTAGATTGATTGATTCGCAGTACTTTCATTAATTTTCTCTCCACCTCTCACAGTTTCTACGCTAACGACGATTACATCCATCGTAGGGTCAACTACTGCTGGACCAAAGGGGTCGGATATTTTGCAAATGTTATATGAAATTTCCGGGCATACATCCATAACGAATTGTTCCACGTTAGCTATTCGGGTGTCCACGTCCTGGATTAATTCCCACAGCAACTTACCTAGAATGAATCCACATTAATAGAAGGCCGAATAACCCTCTCGGTTAGTTTTTTGCTTACTGTGAACCATATTTTCTTCAGTTATTCCAACTGTCACCTTTTCAGAGGCGTGAAGAATTGCATAACTTAAAAGCACCTTGTGTGCTGCATGCAGTCGGTCAAATGTACCTGAAAGTTACATCTTGCCACCTTGGTTTAAGGAAACGATAATCGTGGTACCTCCAAGACAAGCATGTTTATAAACCTGGTCATCTGCTGAATCATCCTGAACTTCGGGGTCCTCAACATTTTCACAATCCACAGTTAAAACGCGATGTTGCTTTGAAACGTTCGTTAGTTTACATTTCATGAAGTTATCAATATCGGCTTTTGAGTATTTCCTATCAAATATAACCACGTCTATGGGGTTGCGAGTGCCTATTTGGGGCACATTGCTTTTCACCCCTGTGAGCAGCACACGAACATCTAAATTGTTACAATGACGTGTTGCCTGGAATGTTCAATAACTACTCATTACGGACGAATATTGCAAAGTATCCAACCTGTGAATAAATGCCGAATATCGTTCTGCTGAGCTTTGGAGGTGTGTTAAACATATGAGAATAGAAGCTTCCTAGAGGCTCATTTAGGGCCGTGAGCAGCTGGATGTAAAGGGTGTGTTTTACCGTTTCCTTCACGTTACTAAGCAACTTATTTATGTGCTTCGGGTTGGACACTATTAAAAGTCCGGTCTTGGCCAACATTGTGCAGAAACACGTCTTCAGACGACCTACATAAATGCAATGTAATTGTTTGTTGATAAGCAAACTTAGGGTTATGTGTCGCACTTGCTGTCATTTTCGCGAAGCGATGACACTCCGTTACCCGCCAATAAATTGTACGATCGTGTGCTATCGGTGTCATTGACACGCACTAGACAAGGACAGTTGGTGAGTAATGGGTGCAAACCTGCAAGTGATTATATAACTCCATGGAATACGACATTTCTGTCAGTTGCTTTTAAAATTTTCGCGTTAGTGTTTCGTTAATGTTTAAAATGTATTTTTCCAGTTTTTTAACGATTGGAAATGCCTTTTAAAGTGAGGATGCGGTGGAAGTCAGCGCTAAACTATTTGCGGCACTTGCTGTTGTTTTCAATGAATAAGTTCGCAACTCAAAAGAAAGTGAGTGGTGTGAGCAGGGATTTAAGCAGGCACGGCTGCTAAAGCCCCTTGGGACCCAAAACCCGCCTACAAATTTTACAAAGAGGCTGGCCTGAGCAGTGCTACAAGCATAGGGGTAAGTAAACTGTTTAAAATTGCTAGGTTGTTTGAGGTAATTGGGAACGCAGTGTAATGGGCAAACAGCGCAAAGTGTGCATAGGAATGTGTAATTTACGAGGTTTGAGAAAATACTCGTTGGTTCAAGTGGGGTAATTGTGTGAAGAAGCTTTACTTAGAACTTGGTTCAGGCAAGTGATTGTTTAACGGCTAAAATCAGGTGGTTGATGCAGTATTTGAGAACGCAGTGGTTCGTCAAAGGGATGATTTACCAAGCGGAGCTTTAGTGGTAAAGCATTATTTTTAAATTTAGTTCATCTGTTATCTAGATTTGTAAACTTAATTTCTTGTCGAGCTTTCGGGGGTTTTTGTTATTTACCACGACTGTAAATTAAGCAACGCGTTTCTATCAATTAATATTTTATTACAAAAGTAGAAAAGACGAACTTAACAATAAATTAGTTCAAAACTTAATTAAATTAATGCGGATTACATATAATACTAATCTGTAAAACTTAACATGATCATAACTGAAAGTTTTTAATACTTTTATATGCAATGCGGTTTGCCATTTGATGTTTCTAGAAACTACGAAATCGGTGAAATGCAACCCTCTTTCATCACTTAGTGAGTAGTATTTTTACATCGGTAACATCCACTTAATTGGCTGTAGTTTTTCGGATTGGGATCATTAATTGGCAAAAGTCGTTACCTGCACTAGTCTAACGACTTTTGCTAATTAATTCGATTCACCATTCGATTAGTACCAGGATAGATGAAAATGAAAGCTGTGGAAATGTTTGGAAAGCAATTGTGTTGCTTTTATTAATATTGTTTGCCGATAACGAACTCAAAATCATTCCGTTTTTGTTAGTCGCCACATTGTATGATTTTCATGAAAAACCACACGTCCAAAGGCACAAAGTCCACCGGCACTTTTACTAACGTACTTTGAAGTTGGAATTCATCCATTTCCCTCGGCACATCACAAAATTGTTATATTGTTCATACATAATAACTCCGACCAGATAAGCTTGATTTTTACCTGGACACCGCTCCAGATGAGTCTTCGTCCAATCTTTGCAAATACTTCCTCAGCAATTCCGACGTTCGATTCGTGTTGTACATCGTTAGAAAAGTCTCTAGGGAGACCGGATGCTTGTTTTTGATTATTTGAAATCCCGTCACGTATCTGTAAAAATCCGCAAAATCCTTTGGAACATATTTCTCCACCAGGCTGCTCTCTTTCACGAACTCCTCCACATCGGGAAGATCTTCCTTGGTGCTGAACTCCACGTCTTTGGGCAGATTCACTATTTCCGTTTTTCCCGGCTGTTCCACATAGAAATTGAACGGTTTAAAGGCGTTTTTCATGTTATCGGGATTAATTGCAGTCGTCGTCGGCATCTCATCGTCTTGACTCGACAGACTTTTTATGTAGAGCGCCACTTGCGTATCATCAAAATATCGCAAAAACATGTGCTTATCTCTTCTGTAGTGCAGTTTTCCACTTGGCGCCACTCTAGGGCTAATGGAAGTTTGGGGCCTATCCAGAGATTTTCTTCGTTTAGACCCATTATCCAATGAGAACTCAGGCTTTGTAGGACTATCCTTTGGATACTCTGGAAAGTCTGAAGACTTCCTTTTCTGAACGTATGATGGGGACGCCACGGATTCATTCAGAATGATCCCTCGTTCAGTAGAGTTTGCTGAAGGTGATAGAGCTTTAGTGGCCGAAGGCTGAGCTTCAGGGAAAGTAAAGGCCGTTGACTGATGGTTGGGTGGAGATATTGGCTCAATTTCCGGGCTGTAAATCGTTTTTTTCGCCTCTACTTTGCTCGCAGTTTCCAACGTCGAAGCTGACTGCTGATATGGTAGAGGGATGGGTGGCATGTAAACTCTTTTAGATAGTGAATGTTTAGGGGTACGCCGTAGTTGAGGGTTTGAGATGTTGGTAGGCGTTGCAGTTGTTGGCGGAACAGGGGTGATTTCCAAGTTTTGGGGCACGCTGATCTTTGCCACTGAGTCCTGTTGAGCACTCTTCTGGCACGATTTGGATGGAGCTTTTGCGATGGTTGGAGTCTTTGTGGGTTCCACTGAACTCGGAACTGTGATAATCACTGTAGCTGCACGCGTTGCCTGATTATCGTCCACTATTTCTGGCATGTCTACAAACAAGTAAATCGTTACGGGTTATTATGTGGAAGTTTTGAGGGCAATACGTTTCGTACCTTCATCGCTATCGACGATTTCGATGCAGTCGCTGTCTGCGACAGGTTCTTCTTTCTTGATAATGCCCATCTGACTGAGGAATTTGCTTTTGAGTTTCTTATTTTTCTTCAACTTCTCCAGCCAGACGAAGAACTCGGAGTTGTTTTCTTCGTGGTCTTTTTCCAGTTTCTCTTTTGTGGGTTCTGCGAGGTGATGGTCACATTTTGGAGACTCGCGTCGATCTATAGGAAAATTGAACTGTTACGTGTCCTAAATGTGTATATATATCCATTCTTACCTTGATTTACTGTTAGCTCCTTCTGGGGCTTTGTGGGCTCTTTGGTAATCTGCATCGAGTTATCGGCCACTATAACGGCGGGTAGAGTTTTAGGCTTTTCTTTTACAACTGGAGATTGCAATTCCATCATTTCAGCTCTGTCGCGCACTTGACTAGCATTGCTAATAAACTTCGCAACTTCCAAATGCTTCGTTGGTGGTGTTGCGTCCCTGTTGTGATTCGTATTGAAAGCCTTTGGCATTTGTTGTTCGAGGGAAGGCCTCACAATGCTGTGTTGTATCTCCAAGTTGGGATGTTGCGAAATTGAAAATGCCGAAGAAAACTGCTTAACGTAGTCCGGAGACGAATGTCCAGGCATGTTTCTGTTGACAGGCGGCTCTTTGGTTGACTGAAAGTATGATGTTGCAAATGCGGGTGGGGCCCCAATTTTTTGAGTCTCCATGTTATTTTGCTGATAGCTTGCAGACAAGGCACTCGGCCGCAGAAAGACGTTGCCTTGAGAAGGTTTCGAGGCCTCTCTGTATGCAGACGGGGCTTTCATATAGATGTATTCCTGATTGGGGTCAGCATGTGGGTGCGAAAAAGAGCTTTTCTGAGCCGCAGCATTCACCGTATCTAAGTGTTTGTACAATTTACTGCGAGGCTTTCCCAGCAAAGTGTTTTGAGGTGTCGGCTCAGACCGGGGATCCTTCGGTGCATTGTACATGTTGGGAAGTGCAAATCGCACTTGGATGCCTGCCGGGTTGGCATAGTAAGGTATGTTGGGCGCAACGGGACGCTCCACCGAATTTGGGACGATTGGGAATATCCAATTCGGCTCATTTCTCTTCGGGATCATCTCATTTCTGGCTATCGGAGGTGAGTGTTCCAATGGACCGGGCAAATCCCCTGCTTGGGGAGAAGACGCTCCTGAGTACAAATGCAAGCTACTCAAGGCCTTAGTATGGGCGTTAGCCACTTTCCTTCCATTGTAGTGAGGCGGGAGTTTATTTAACTCGCTGTAGCCTTTGGGTTGTGCACTCTGAGGAACAAACCTCGGCAATTTAGGAGCATCGTTTATGCTAAGATTTCTTATAACATCAATTGGGATTTCTCCAGAAGTGCCATCAGACTGACCTACAATGATGGGGGGGGGGTTTATATTTTGGACAGGTTGTTGAAGCATATCTCACCGAAACTTTTAATGGCTTTCATAATATCCAAATTCAATGGACACTCGCTTTTAAGGACGTTGGAAATGAAATTGTAGGTCTCATGTAGAATCGCCTGGGCTTCTGATCTGAACTCGGATGGTATGCCAGGGTCTTCTCTAGCTGCGTCCAATTGGAGGAAAGCCTGGCACATTGATCTTAAGACTTCTAAAGTTAAGGGTTGCCGGAATAATGCCCGCAACATGTTTTCCAGTTGACACATGTTTGAGATTTTCAAAATTGTATTTTTAAATATTTCCGCGTCGGAATGTGGGGGTATGGGGTTGTTGCGTAGAAACTCTTGTCTGCAAATTAGAGAGAGCGTGTAAAACTCTGCTCACTCACCAACTATGAATATGCACTTACATTGACTCTGCTGTTGGTCTGGAATATTTCTCACGCTGCTTGGCCTCAATCAGTTTACTGATTATCTCTTGCTGAGACCGCGATTTGTAATAATGAGAGTGACCGATGTGCTTATTTTCGCTATTGCTGAGATTAATTGCTGGTTTTTGTACTTTTAACTGTGATTGAGCGGCGGCATTTTTCAATTTGTCTATCTGTCTCATCAGTTCTGCGTGCTGCATCAACTCGAAATCTCTCTGATTGTAAATCGTAGTTTTCCTGCTGAGGTCCACAGGTATTTCCGCTGAATTTGTTTGAGCAAACAACCGTTCGGGTTGATTTTCGAAAAATTTCGTTTGCCGCTGTTGCAATTGAAAGTTCTGCAACGATAAAACGACTGGTTTTTAGTTCCATCGTTTCTTCAAATCTACCTAGTGTGTGTTTGCGCGAAGGAATCGCACTGGTTTGAATATTCAGCGATTTGTGGTTTATTGGGCTGTAGTCGATAGGATCGATGCTGACGTTTCGCTAGCACGTATGGCTACCATCTTCAGAGGTGGGCCCCCTGAAGATTTCGTATCGACGACGGCCTAATAATCCACAACTCTTCGGTTGGAGAACCAAACAAGCTTTCAGGCAGTTTATAGTATTTCAAAACTGTAGATCACTCTTACCTTTTCAAAAAGTGCGCTTGAACTCTGCATAGGTTTATCAATCACTATTCTCCCGTCGACATTTTGCGTTGATTCCAGATGGTTCTCACGCAACTTGTTGCTGGATTTCGATGACTCCCTGCTGAATCTAACCGATGGTTTTAGAGTGAAACGGACATTGTTGGCCGGCAATTCGAAAGGTTTCAGACTGGCCTCAGAGTGTGCAAATTTTGCGCCAACTGTTTCATCTTGAGCGGTTGTTTGTGCGCTTGATGGCTGCTCTGGAGGTTTTCCTGCGACCGGTTTTGCGATCTGGATGTTTTCCGCGCTTCGTCTTCGCACTGTCGGCGTTTCAGGAACGATTGCTGAAATAGAACAGGTTTTTCACTATCCATCCATCGAAGTGTTTTAAAGCTTTGGTTGCCTACCGGGTAATTGATGTTTTCCAACATTGTTGTGGTTTCTAAAGCAGTTCATGTTGTTATTTTCTTCAACTGCCTCTTTCGAGTTGAGCGCTTCTTCGCCCCGCGGCAAAAGCTGCTTGTTGCCCCCCAATGAACTCACGATGGATTCCAATATCGAGTCCTTAGTGACTTCTGTGAGATCTTTGGAAACTGATGGAGCCGAATCAGTTTGTTTCAATAAAGTGGATGAACGATCTACAACGGATTTAGCCCACTGTTACCAGACATTGCTGATTTCAAATGGCTAAGTGGCGGCGATATAAGAAGTGTGCAAACTGATAACGTCCGTTTGAATCAAAAAAGCTTACTAAGGTTCTTTGTTCAATTGTATCGATAACAGTCCCATTAGTCATAACAAATTGTTCAGCTATAAAACTGTGCAGAATTTATTAAGGCTACGTGTCCACATTTATGCACTGTTCAAAGGAACAACAATCAGTTGTACAGGGTGTCCCACCGAAATTATATTTCATTAGAATCACATTATTAACTTCAAAGAAAAAACGAATAAGTATGATTTTTTTCTGATGATTCCAATTAAATGTAAATGCTTGCACCTCTGAAGGTGCAAGCAACTCAAGCTTGCGAGACGTCGGGACGAAATTCTTTTCTACATCAACAATCTGCATATTATGGCTTAATTTTTCATATGTGATTATCAGTGAGTTAACGGGAAAAATTGCGATTTAGTTGCGCGAAGTGCAGGAGCACAAACTAGTTTTCCGTTGAGTCGGCATGATTATTAGATAATTATATTTCCGCAATTGGGATTATCATTTTATCAGAACTGAAGTCAACTGGAAAACCCTTAGGGTGTGAGAATTTGTTTACTCCATGGAAATATAAATAGATAAGATTATTATTTAATGAAAGTCCCCTTCTAAGAAGCGTGTTAATGATTTGATGGTTTGTACTAAATGAGATAAAAGCCAATTTAAAATCGGTTAAACCCACAAGCTTAATATTATTGATAAAATAAATGATTGTTTTATTGCGAAAGAAGTTGAATAAAAGTTGCTAAACTCAAATAACCTTCTGAAGGAATGGAACGAAATTTAATGCAAAATGTAAACATATTCATAATTTACTAATATATGACACACGCTTTTTTGACTAATTACTCAGACTAACGGGAGTTCAAATGCACTGGTTTGCAAACTTACATTCTCCCGGTGTAAACAATTTTATGTTGTGATGTCGAAATTGTTTTCTGGATATTTTCCTCTTCCACTTTTTCCTGCCCTTTGGTTCGTCTTCTTTGTCCCGTGCTTTTTCTGCACTGTCGTCGTTTGCCGGGCAATTAGCCTGATAAAGATCGATTTTATATTTACAATGTCGATTTCTAAAGTGTGTTTGCCGACAATACAGGATTTAAATGATGGGAGTTTATTCATAAAAAGCATACCGTATGTAGACAATTAACTATCACGACGTGGGCTTTATTGAAGGCTATTTTGCAATCGATAGGAAGTAAGGACGTGGTTTTCTGAGCTATTTTCAATTAACCACTGTTTATTAAAATAGCAATCTTTGAAAACATCTTCAAGGAAAGCTTCACGCCCTTAAGAACGGTTTTAACAGTACCTGAACTTCCGTATCATCACTATTGTCCATTTCCACGGCATTGTCATGATTGTGCTGATTGAAAAACGATCTTTTCTTGTATGGTCTCATTTCTTCCTAATTTTAATGATTATGCCGCAGTAAGCAAGCATTTGGCTAGTTTGCGGCTTTATACGGAAATTATTTCGCAATCTGTAAAGATAGCTGAAACAACAAAAATTGCATAAAAGTATTGAAAAAAACCATAGATTCACGAAATATGGTCGGTAATATGGTTTGTTTCTATTGTTGCATCTTACAGTCTTCATCAAATCAATCAAATATATTTTTTTGGTAAATCAGGATACCGTTTTGTTAATGGTTTGCTTCAATTAAGCTGGCAGATACAGACAGGGTGATTCAAAATGTATCCATGTTGTAATGAATTGAAAAAAAAAATGGATAATTATTTGCAAAATTTGATGCTTCAAACCTGCATTTTGCTTGGCAAATCGTCGCGTTTGCTCCACACAAGTGACCGTGCTATCTGCTCGATGCCCAGAATACAATAGAGGCTCTATTCAATTAGAGTGAATCACTATTGCATATTTTAATCACCTGCCTATGTCAGTATAGTGAAATAATGTGCAATAAAAGTAGCGTGACTGTGCTGCTTGGGAACAAAATCGTTTAACGAGTTTACGAAAATGAAACTTCGAGAAAGAATATCGGCATTATGCATAATAAATATCGAATGCTTCAAACTGAGGGGCTAAGCGAATATGAAAAAATTGTATAAATCCATAAAATTTAAAGAAGAGTTTTTTAGTGTTCTAATTCTAAATGAAAGGGATTATTTTCCACAGGATAATTCTTGGAATAATAAAAAAAATTATTTGTCCGCTTAATCCGCGAAAACACAATTTAACATAGTGATTAATTGACAATTCTAATCAAATATCCATAGACTCACCCAATTTCTGCCACTTTTTTTTTTCAATAAAACGGATGTTTGGAACAGTTTTCATTCAGGAAGCGGCCACTAATGAAGAAATTCCGGCTTTGTGCACTCGAAAACTGTCGTCCTCTCAAACAGCTACACGTCAGGAATTCCTTCGAAATCGATTGTTTTCTAATTTCCTAGTTTAATACCAGCAATTTATTACCACGCGTATACTTCCTTTGCTTAGTTTTAATAAATAATTTTTGATGTAGAAAGTGCGCCTTTAATTTTTTGATTTTGTATAATTATACTGGGTGTCCCCTGACTCGATGGTCATAGCTGGAGAACGTTTTCCTTCTCTCCAATAACGTACATACTGTCTTTCGAATTGTTGACGATTGATTTGTTTGATCTCTGATCCGAAAATCGTTGAGTTTGCCACAAGTTTAATTTAGCTTTCAACTTTGTTATTTACTGTTTAAAAATTTGAAAATACTGTTTGACTTGGGCCACTGAATGCATATCGTTCCAAACTGTACCCAATCTGAATTAGACATGTGTAATACATGATAAGGTTTTTATGTTTTGGCTAATAATAATTAAATTTTTACATGTATCTTGGGAATGAGCATTGTTTATGCTGATGCATCAGCTGAGCTTGAGCTGAGCTGAGATTAGACATTGGGAACATTACGCGTTTAAATATATGGATTATTGATAAGGCATATGCTGTAATTTAGCTTAAACGCGCTGCTGACATTCTGTGTGGGTGGTCGATGGAATGCGGGAATAGAAAAATGGGGGAAATTGTGAATGAAAAGCTTTTACTAACTGATATGTTTTTTTGCATTTAGGCAAGTTTTGCTGGGTAGATACTTTGGGCCTTGTATAAATAGATACTGGGAGCAGAATGAAACATTTCCTGTACCTCTACTTTTTTGACAAGTCCTGCAACAGCGATATTTACCTTAAAAGAGCCAATACATGTTCGGTATCCAAAGTAGTAACTTGAAAATTACGGACTAACGAACAAGCGATTACATGTCATACATGTCCGACCGTTTTGTTCATGCGACTGATTGCAAACAGCACAAGCAGCAGCATGAATGTTTATTTTACCTATCTTATCTCACAAAAAATTATGATAAGCTAATCATGAGCGGTTTTGTTCTCCTTCAAACACTGTAGTAGTAGCGGATGCATGCGTTCACTTTTATCTTGTGTGATACTGGGTTAATTTTAATTAGTTTTTTCCAAGTTTCATTAGCTGTATCTCCTTTTATGTATGCATACCGTAGGCGAAGAGAATGCCAATTATTATAAAACTTACTTTTCAAACTCCATAAATTTATCGATGATTAGATTTTGCCTCGCTGATGCGCACAATGTTTTTAAAAGTGGAACAATTTGAATTTAGCGCCTCACCGTATGTAAGTTTCCCATGTTATTGCCTGGCAATTGTTACGCGCCAAATCTAGAAGAACTATTAGAGTATCAGGAGAAAATGTTGTCTTGGAACACCGTGTACATTTTTTTATTAATCAATCGTCTAAACTTGAACAATAAAACATTCATATCTCGCTATAGCGACAACGGTTAAACAGGTCAAAAGTGTGTCAATGGAGATTTTAAACATTCCGCGGTTTTTTCAAGGCTTCTGATGCACGTAAACGCGAAAAAGCACAATCAAATTTTTCGGCAATCGGGGTTTTCGCGATTGCGACCGTTTTCCAATTGCACATTTATACCGAATGAATTTTGCGTGGTTTCTTGAAGGCAAATTTTGTAAATCCGGTTCAACCGATGTTTACAATTTATCGGCAATCTTAATGGAGCTCAGATAGCTTTTAAACGATTCTCAAACGATTCTGGTTAGCGGAAATTTTTAATAGTATCTTATCTGATTACCATTATCAGCATAAGAGGGTAGAAATTATTACGTTTGGACTTATCGCGTACTGCGGGTGTAAATCTAACTTTCTTCATAATTTGTTAGCTCTTGTTAATAAATGAGTTTTTTCTAGCAGATTTGATAATTCTGTTCAATCGTCATGGACGAATCTAAATAATCCAAACAATCTTCTACTTGATATCCAGTGACTAAGTTACGTTTAGTCAGTTTATTGGTTATTCATAATTATTCTCACAATTGCTTTGCATCATTTTGCACAACGTGATTTACGATATCACGAGCACGTTAAGTTAACATCAAGTTGGTAGGTGTTCCAGATAATTTTAGATTTTTACTCAACCATGATTTGAATTTTACATAATAATCGCTTATAATCAATGGCGGTTTATCACCATTTATCTATATCTCTAAGATATGGATATAGGTATTTGTATGCACGAAGATTATGTGGCATTCTAGTGTTTATTTACGGAATTATTAATTTTTTCGATAAGACGCAAAACAGATAACGAAACAAGGACCGTAATAGATAAGCGACCTTATCAGTTGAAAGGTGAATAAACAACTTTTGAGTACACAATTGCCTGGATCAGATCATAAAACGAGAATCAGATACTTGGTACTACAACGTGTCTGACAAATCTCTTTTGTTACCGATTTTTGTTTGTTCGTTTGTTCTTATGTTGGGATAAGGGAATTTTTCCGTTACCGAGAAATCGGTTAGTAACAAAAACAAAAGTGGTAGTTTAAGTCTGACTAATTTTAAGCAAACATTATTTTGTCTTTTTCGGAGATTTCAACAAGTATTGAAATATTCGAGGTTTGAGTTTTTACCAAGTCGTATTAGTAGTTTAGAGAGAAAAATGTAACCTGCATCGCCTGAGTTTTTGCCTTTCTCTGAATTAATGAGTTATAACTCATCGGTTAATGCGTTATAACACACGCACTGCGCCAACTCCTAAAAATTCACTGAGTTACCCGGGCTTAAATCAGCCAGTTCAGAGTGTTTTTTGGGCTCAAACCAGTGTTGTGCATCTGCATTAGACACATTTGGATGTCACTAAAATGACTTGGCATCGTTCCATCGCCAGTAGATTCGCAGAAGTTGATTAATGAACTTTTGCGCCCATTTTATTCATAATGATGGTGCGAATACGGAACTTTCATACTCAACTCTCCACTCGGTTCAATCTTGCTTAGTTTAGCAAAAGTGCGTTTTTGAAGTGCAGTTTACGAAGACACTCGCAGCCCAATTTGGAAGGTTTCTCAAATCGGCTCCGATAAAATCGCAGAGAGAAAACTTAAAAAATGCTCAGGTTAATGTGTGCTTTTTCCAACACATGCTTTGGTCACGTTCTATTCCACTCGGTATGGAAGAACTGAATTTTTCAAGCAATTTACGCACAGTCTTTTAAATTTGAGTTGCCACCTCCCTGATGATGGCTCAATAGCAAAACTTTTCCCATCCGGTGAAGAAAGTGCGCTCTTTCGAATCCATGATTCGGCATCAAGCCATCGCACTCACTTTGGCAGAAATGATTTTTTTTGAATTGATAAACTTGTGAATTGATGTTTGCCAAAAAACACCTCTGTCGTCTTCGAAGAAAACTCGCTTGTGTTTCTGGTTATCTCTGGTCTCTGGAAAATATCTGAGTGATTTTATCGAATAACACGACCCTCGTTCAATGGATCCATACATGATTATTTCGGAAATTGTGGATTCCATCTGAATTAAGCCATTAAATCGGGTGAAGACGTAAGTTTCCAGTTTTTAAATTCATGTACAAACAAATTAGCATCCTAAAAATAGGCGTCAAGTGACTAGTGACGCTATACTGATAAACACTAAACACCTACTTTTTGTGTAATCTACTGATAAAAACATTTATTGTATTATACCATATTAATTTAAGAAGCCAGATAAAATTACCCTGTACCGATAATCATGTTCAGTTTTTTTGCACGCAAAAATTACTCAAATGATTACCTGAAAATGTATTCGCGTTCAGATTAATAATTAAACTCCGGTTATTTGCTAATAAAAGGTATTTATTAAATGTATCTCAAAAAATATTTATAAAACAACGCTTTTAAAGGCACTAAGCTGACTATAGGTATTTTGAATACAAAATATAAAAATACGTTGTAAAAACAATGGCACCAACATAAACTTGTATGTTTCCCAGTAGAGATCAGGAAAATACATTTTGCACGAGTTCGATGATCGAAATAAATTAGCAAGTGAATGTACGTTAATTTTCAGGAATCACATTATTTCCGAAAAATAACGTAAAATGCAGTAAACAATGTACACAAATCAGGACAGTAATAAAGGTGCTACAATATTAATGGGGAAACTTGGAAGAACATCATTTATATGTAAATACACATTATCGCGGAAAATCACATTATTTAAACTTAAGAAGCAATTTTAATGGTTTTTAGAATCAACATTATTAACGCATCCAGTAGGATTTTGGAATCAATTATAACTGACAGTTATTTAAGTAACACAAAGCATCTTAAAACACTTTAAAACATTAGAAGAATCGCGCATTTTAAGAAAACCTGTGCGTGTAATTGAAACAAAAACTTCAACTTACTTATTATTTAGTACAACTATAATAATTCAATTACAAGTAAATAATACAAAGCATAACACAGATAATTTATAGCACGTACAGTCTTCTCACACTAACGGGGAGTTGAGAAGAAAATTGCATTAACTTGACCCGAAACAATGCAAACTATAAACAGTTAATTATGTTTAACAATTTTTCAATTAGAAGGCATTAAATATAGTGCAATCGTACTAGTGGCGAAAATCTTTCAGCATCACATGTGGGATATAATACAAAATACAATATTTATATCTGGTTTTATAAAAAATATTAACATTTAAAACTAGTTCGTTGATGCTCTCAGTTAGCTCAATAAAGCTTGCTAAAGGCACTGTTAATGCTTACTTCGACGGTAAGCAGTTAAAGTATAAATAAGTACCAGAACGGTAAATTTCTTTGGATATTTAACGTACCATCAGTACATGTATGTGTAGCAGTTAAGCACAAAAGACGCTGGTTATTGAAAACGATGCCTTTTAGTAGAAGTATTTACGCACGAAATTGTATTTTGCTTACTAATTCTTCAGGTGGTTGTTGCCGTTTTCCAAAATAGCATACCCTGATGGTAACAAGTACAAAATGCCATTTCCTTCTTTCTTGAAGGTAGCGGTCTGAATTTCCGCAGACACGTGAATATTAATAAGCCGCTGTTTGCCCCCTAGGGAGCACTGAATGGTTTTGCTTACTTTTACTGGCAGTTCGGCGTTTCGGAGTCTGGAACAACAACATTTTTTTTACTTCGCTAATGGCAGTCTACGTTTCTTTCAAAAAAACCTTAATTATTTTCAAAACGAACACTTTCTGAATGAGTCTAAATGCATAAAAAAGTTAGCTGATGATTTTCGGTCGAATTCTGTAGAAAAATTTAGAAAATTGGCCATTTTTACTAGCCGTATGTTGAGTCATTTTGCACTTGGCAGGTCTTGGTAGATCAAAAGCAATCAATATCGCCGAAAAAACATAAAAAGTTTGACATTTTATTCTGTTCTCAATGAAAAACTTCGATCGCACTTACTGGTAGAACTTGTTGCAAATAACTCCGATACATTCCCCCACTCGGTCCTCTTGTTTGAGGCAATGAAGAGAAACTACCAAGTCGTTTCCGCCAGGACAGTGCAGCACGATCAGTTGGTCTTGCCCCGGACTTACACTTATGCCTGCAAGACCACATTTGAAAGTGAAAAATATTGAGCAAAATTTCCTGAAAAATTACCTGTTAAGTCTTTTAATGGCACGCCTTCTTTCATGTTTCTGAACTTTTCTGTATCCAACTTGAAGATGAACTGATCGGTTATCAGCATCACTCTTTCGGCCACTTTATTAAATTTATTGAACTTGGTAACGTATGAAGAAAACAGCACCTGCACGACAAACGTTTTCATGTGGTTAATGCTAAAGGCAGTTGCTTAACTGAAACGCACCTGACTAAAATGCTTGGAGTTCTTCAAGTTATTTATTGCATCATTAAACGCGGAGTAGTTGCTATTCTCATCCAGGCGACACAGATAGTTGCCGTCCCATTTTCGGTTAATGCCGTACTGAGGCCTTTTGTTGATCAGCACACTGGCCGCACTAATTTTCAGCTTCATCTGAGCCCAATCGGCTTTGTTAACTCGGCTCAAGACCATAAAGGCGCGCCATCGGTTGAAAGCCATGCGGAACAACCGGGCGGTGTCCTAAAGAATATTTTATATTCGTTTCGTTTTTTCATATATAAATTTGCTACTTACGTGTAAGGCTCTGGGTGGTGCGGGCCAAATAATGCTCTTTCCGTAATCTTTCATCGTTTTGGCCCTTTGGAATTTCGCCTGCAGTTGGTTGATGTAAACCCGCATTTTCTTCAGCCTGTAGGCCTTTACCATGACCATCAGCGCCTGCATTCGCTTGTAGAGCTGGCTGGCTTTGTAACCTATAGAAATCATCACCCAGTAAAAAATTGCAACGAGTACGTTGAATGTTAATGCCAAATATTGTTCTAAAATGTTTCGGGTTTTCACGCAAAATGCCAAAATACAAATTGATAGAGAGTCTTCAGAACCGCACTTATTGGTTGGCTCGTATTTAGAGAACCGGTTGAGTTACAAAATTCTCGTTTTCATTGTGCGATTGAGCGTTAAATTGTGTACTTTTTTATGCCAAACATCGTTCTAAAAATGTTTCTAGTTTTGCAAAATGCGAAAATTACTTACCTCTCCAGGTTTTCTGGATCAAAGTCACAATGCTAGGGATAAGAATGTTCCTGGATTTTTCCAACTCGAAAAGCGTCTTGGGGGATCGAATGAATATCTTGGTGTTTCCGTACTTTACGTCATTGCCAAAGCCAGTTTCTTTCAATAAAACTTCCACCCCATCTCTGTCCGAGCCGTTGCGGAAGTTCGGCCAGGTGTAGTGGGAAATCATCTTGTATCTGATTAAACCAGCGTTTTTAGTAAACCAGCGTTTTTAGTATGTAGTTTTAGTATAATTCCTCAGACTAATATAAAGTCGTACCTCTTCAGGAACTTGTCATAGCGTTGTCTATGGGCAAAGCCTGCCCTCCTAACTCGAACATTCTCGATCAGTCCCAAATAACTCACTTGATGTTTGACTCTTTCATAGTCAAAAGCCGAGGCCGATTTCACTTCGTTCGGCTTGATGCAACGCACATAATGCGGTTCTTTGCTAATAAGAGTCTTGACTAGTTCTTGCATCGATGTCTTGAAAAGCGTCCCTGCAGTGGGCGGTCTCTTCGTTATCTGTATAATACAAAAACTTCCCAAACGTTCTTCCGTGTGTTTGCCAGGTTTATTACTTGCGTGATGTGTTGGGAGCCCTCCGGCCACATTTCCTTCAAATTGGGGTCTGTTGAGTTAAACAGCAGCCTCTTAAAGTCTTGGAACAGGGTGTCTTTGTTTTTGTCCAGAAAGCCGACTATGCAATAGGTCACGTCCCCCGCATAATGGGTAATTCTGTTGAGCATATTAAGAGTGAAGAGTTTTTGCTTGAAGATCAATGGGACTTTACCTGAAATCCACCTTGTGCCTCAAAGACTTTTCAGCGGTTTTCGTTTGTCTGGACATGTAGTGTTTGTGACCTTTCAGCTGCTTATCCATGGCTTCCAGCAGAAGTTCGTCTGTTACTTTTTCGGCCGTCATTTTACATGCATCGTCCATAATCGCCATCACACCTAGATTAGAGCAATAGGCGGTCAGACTCACTGTGAGCTAGCAAGAATAAATCCCCAGCGTACCTTTGTGTGGGGCTTCCACTAGATCACAAATGATTTGATTGTTAAAGTACTCAATGTTAGTCCACTCGATGCCCTCTCTGTTATACTCCTCCTGTTCCTGCTTCAATACCAGTTCGATGAACAACTGCTGGAGCTTTTCGTTGCAATAGTTGATGCAAAACTGCTCGAAGCTGTTGTTGTCGAAGATCTCAAAGCCGTAAATGTCCAGGACCTGTTTGCGAAAAATCCACTGTAACACGCTTGATTTCTGCTGATGATTTTATTACCCCTATCAAAGAGCTCTGGTATATTTTTTTGAAGTTTTGCGCGTCCACTGCGATGGCCGCATTGATTCGTTTGACTATCCAGTTGAATAGGCGCTCATATATGGCTTTGGCAAAGGCATTGCGACCATATGAAGCCTCTGATTCCGTGTGCTCTTTTCGCATAATGTCGCCTCGCGCTGCAATCACTCGTTCGCAAAGCGCCGTCTCCAAATCTGTCTTCTTCACCTAAGCAACATTAAGGAAAACATTGCTAGAAGCTTTTAAATTGCAAAAACCGTGTTACTCACTTGTAAAAGTGCAGCCACATCATCCACATGCTTGGATTTCTTCAACTCCAGCTTGTCTTCCACAATGTCGAACTGCACGTCCCCCAGATGAAGAATCGCCGCCACCACTCTCCAGAGAGTGTCTTGGTCTTCTTTGCTGAACTGAGCAGGAGCATTTTTCGATAAGGCTTTAATAGTCGTTTACGATACAAGGGCGAAAAATGTCGTCTTTCGAACGACGACGGCGTTTCAATTCGTCAATTCGTCAGGAGTTCGAAAAACAAATTTTCGCCCTCGTATCGAACACTATTTTTTATTCGAATGAAAGATTACACGAATAATAAAAGGCATCGATTTCATATTTAAAATTTTGTGGCAATGTCATTTTTTGAAATGTCATGTTTTGAAGTTTGTAATTAAGTG